ATTCTCAGATCCGATCGATATCGATAGTAGTGGTAAGATATTGAACATGTTTTTGAGCGATGAAGTCGAGACATTTTTCTTGAGAGCAGAGAGTCCTTATTTGTTGAAGAGACCTTGTAGAAAAAATTTCATTCAAGAGAAAGCTATCTTTCACGAAATTTTTCGTATACACGATTCGTGAATTGAAAATTATGTTGTGTGCTTTAAGAGATAAGACCACTGGTTCGTCTGTTCGCTATTAATTCGTCCTCGGATGTAATTTCGGTTTCGAATTGGTCTTCGACGACTACGACACGCTCGAAGCGACAAAACACACCTCCCTCTACAGTTTGTTATCATTTCGTATCGCTTTTTTGCCATATTCACTCACTTAATATACCGTCATCATTAGTACACCTCGAAAGCAGCACATTTCATTGTCATTAAAAATTCTCTCATCAGAAATCATCGACGACTAGGATGCCTTTAATGGTGTTCGTGGAATTTCAACGAAATGCATGCGATTACAATATTATACTCATCCGGTACATAAGAATCTATGAATCATCTCTGCAGTCGAATTATCGAATCTGTCCATTCATAACAGATGTCAATTTCAATAGCACTCTTGACTGAACCTAATTTTCAGATAACTCAGCAAGCGATTGCGTTCATTGGCAATGAACTGTATTCGATAAGACGTGACAGCGATTCACCACAACCTTATCTTCTACACTTGGACATGATTAATATTGAGAATGTCTTACACAAGGTCAGTTCGTTTGTTTCTATTCGAAACATCCAGCTCATCAGGATAAATTAGTGCTATTTCATCCATACATTTCACATGGTATTTATACCGTACCAATTAGCGTTGTCATCACTGATTTGAGTGTGACCATAATCGACATTCCACGTGAAATATTCAAATTGCGTTTGTGCTCGTAATGTATTCATCAGAGTTGTTAGATTATTGCTTTGAGAATAATTATGGCAAAAACTCATGTGTATCATTCTCAAATGAATCCAAAATTTTACCTCGACACAGCGATCGTCCACGAAATGAAATAGATTGAGAGGATATCTTGTTGAGTGTCCAAATAGAAATGACCATTAATCTCTCAGTGCTTTTCAGGTTCCAATCGGTGGTGAGGTAAACAGTGTTGATGCGGTCATTTCTGACTGGGTAGCAAATCGTTTGCTGTTTGTCTCATTTGGTCATTTGATGCAAATTGGTCTCGATGGTATTCAGGTCAGCGCATGCCATATATATGACGTCTGTCATCCAACCATTAGGCTTGTTTGCTTCTAAAATTGAACACCACAAAAGTGTTCGTTTTTTCCTAACGAGTTGCTCAAATGTTCAGGGTGTTTCGTCTGTGACGCCAAAGCGAATAATGGATCTGTCACCAGGAGCTGGTGATGCAAAACAACTTCTGTATGATCCGTTCACAAAGTGAGTCACATCTTGGCTAGATCGAAGTATTTCAGTAAAGAGCATTTGCTCGATTGCTCGTTCTCAAACGAATTCACTTTATCGACAATTCCAATCTGTTATCAATTATAACAAAAGACAATATAAACTTCGAATATCTGAAGTTTTACGGCATTATTCTACGAGTTTTCAGCACGGCGTATCTTCTCACAAAAAATGGCTCGTTATTTTCACTTGATATGACGAAAAGAACTGAGCAGAATTTAGCACTCCGGTAAGGATCGTTTTCGATATAT